GAGTCCCTGGTAAAAGACACTTTGGGTTCCTTTAGTCCCTGAGTTGGAGCCCGAATCGCTACAGAAAAAACAGAAAGTCATGGTGCTTCGAGCGCCAGCTTGAGCGCGGACATGCCTGGGACAGACAAGTCAAATTCGACCGCATGGTCTCAAGTTGACATGCAAAATCACTCTACAATCCAAACGCCAAATTGAAAAAACAAATTTCTCAGAATACAGTTTTGCAATGTTTTGCAGGCTTGTCACGGTTTCTAAAAGTCTGTGGGCAGAAAACGCTCGTCCCCCTCCGAATTTCCCCGCAGAGTGGATGACCGACTTTGTCCGTCGCAAGCGAATTCCCAAATGCTCAGTACCTATCAGCTAACAGCTCTGCGAGATAGCCCACGGGGTCAAAAGACAAAACAGGCTGGGCCAGAAACTCCAAAGCAGCGGCAGTGTGTTTGTTGACAACCTCGTGTCATAAAGACTTTGATGTAGCTCTCTGCACTTGTTGTCTGACGCCTTTTTTGGCATTCTCGAGTCAAATTCCTTTCCCCGACAAATTAGTAACTATGAGGCATCTAGCTTCCTGCCAAGCTTTGCGTCTGAGGAGCATGCATGGCGATTGGAATGACTCACAGTCACAGGCTGACCAACCTGGGGCTAGAGCTCTCAGCATCTGGAGGTCCGCTATCGCTGCCGCATCGGAAAGTGCTTGGCCTCAGCAACAGCAGCTCTCAGCGTTCGATGCACGCTCAAGGCAAAGTCATCACGCAACTCTCCGCGCATTTCCAGACATGTTCGATCCAGACTCAAGTGTAGGGGGCATCGTGCTGGAAGTCCGAGAAGTACGATGGGACAACTATGACAGCTTGGTCAGACCATCTCCGAGACAACTTGGGACAAGGGTCCAAGCGAATCTGCAGTTGTAAAGTGCGCTGAATGGCACTTGCGATTCTTCTGAGAAAATTGCGTCAGCCACTGTTGAGCTGCACCACGCCTGCTTGAAGAAAAGCGCTCAGTCAAAAGAGGCAGCCGGCTGCGAGGCTATGGGGCCTCAGTCACCTGCTTAAGCTTCGTGAGGAACATAGAAGTGACCTGAGCTTCGATGAACAAGATGTTTCGCTTTCGATTGCGCCACCCAGCTTGTGGCCGAGAACTGCGTCATCTCGCCCCTGTAGCTGACCGAGTAGCCCGTGAAGCCATCCTGGACTGACTAATTACATGGACAACTCTGTTGAAGGCTCTGTGTGCACCAGCGGACAAGTTGACCAAAACCTCAGAGCAAGCGTCTCGCGAATGCGGGATTTGGCTACCCTGGGAGAGGCTTTTCAGCATCTCGCTCTGCCCACCCTGGACGGCCCGTAACATGCTGCTTCGAACTCAACGGAAGATCAGAGGATCAGAGTTGTTTTTTTCAAGAATTGATCATGGAGTTAGATTGGAAGCACGCAACATGTTCCAAGACGCTCCACGCGCCAGCGCCGCCGCCCGCCAAGCGCCGCCAACCGCCGAAAACCACGAGAGGGTCAGAATTCTGAGGACGGTCCACAGGCCAGCGCCGCCGCCCGCCAAAGGCACGAGAGGGTCGTCGATTACGAACAGAATTCTGAGGACGCCGCACGCGCCAGCGTGGAAACCGCCAAAAACCACGAGAAGGACGTCGAATACGAACAGAGTTCTGAAGACGCTCCACGCGCCAGCGCCGCCGCCCGCCAAAAACCACGAGAGGGTCGTCGATCACGAACAGAATACGAACAGAATTCTGAGGACTCTCCACGCGAAAACGTCCGGGCGACGTTCGGACTACGTTGAGATACCCCCCCCTTGCAAACAAAATGATCCGCACAGCCTTCCCGTGGTGGTGACATGTGTTTTCTTATCAGAAGCATGGCTCGAAAAAAACGCGGTGGGGTTGGATGACATAGTAATACAAAATATTGCCATAGGAATGGTGTCACGAAGAATGATAGTGATGATATCAAAATACTAACGTTATTTAGAATGCTCGTAATGATATGAAGTGCAGTAGTCATTCTGCTAATGAAACTATGAAAACTAGATATAACAAGAGTAATCATGACAAGGGACTTAAGAAGAATGATAGTAAGAGCAGTAATACGAATCGCGTTTTGTAACAAATATTAAGAATAATAGTAAGCATAAAAATGATAATGATGGTAATAATTATCAAGTAAAGATATTACGAATAATGATAGCAATAATCATGATGATAATAACTGTCATCATATACTACTAATAATATAAAGAGTGCTAAGACAAATGTGAAGAATATGAAGGATTGCAATCATAGTAGGCAGAAAGTTAAGAGCTCAAGAAGCCTCGAAGTACAAAGCCAGGAAGCCACCAGCAAGCCAAGAAGCCAAAAATAACAGGAAGCCCAGAAGCCTAAAAACCAAGCACCCAGAAATCCAAAAGCTAAAAAGCAACGAATCCAGAAAGCCAAAAAACCAGGAAGCCAAGAAGCCAGAAAGCCAAGAAATCGGATATGGTGTCTTTCTTTCCTTTTTTCCTTCGTCCTTTCTTCCTTTTTTGTTCCTTCCTTGCTTGTCTTTATTCATTTCTGTTGTTCTTCATCTATTTCGTTATTTCTTCATTGCTTTATTTACTGATTTTTTTTTCTTTCGTTCTTTCTTTCCTCCTCCGGCTCAGGGCTCGATTTGTTTTTTGATCTCTGCTCGGGAGGCAAGAAATACTGAGTTTTACGATAAAGTCCAGAATCTTGCTTGTTGATCCATATTTGTTTTTGATCCTTATGCGTTTTTTTTGATCCTTATTTGTTTCTTTTAAACCCCCTCCCTGCAAAAATGTCATAAAGTCTCAAGTCTAGCTGGTGTCGCACCACTCGCATGAACAAGACAGATGAGCCACTTGCCAGCCTGAAGACGCTGGAAGCAGCTTGACCGCACCGGCACGCGTGACCCTTCCAGTATCGGACCATGCACCTTTCATCCGGACTTTGCCGAGTCCCCAACGGAGGCGATGCGCTGCGATGCGCTGCGGCATGCCCTGGCCGAGTTGAAATGCGGATCAACCTGTTCGCTTCTGAACTGTGCAAAGGGTGCCGAAGTGTGCAATATTGTTTGGCATGTTCGAAGTTCACTGTAAAGCTGCAGCTGCAACTTTGCAGGACTCTGAACAGCTCTAAACGTACCACCAGGCCAAAAAACTAGTCGAAGCTGCAGTGGCCAAGCTGCTTCACAAGATTGGCACGCATGGCACGCGAGACTTGAGCCGGAAGGCAGGCGCGACTAGGTTTGGCATTCATGTCAAGATGATCTGGGCGGGAGCTTGTGACGGCTTATGGGACACCTCTCTGAGGCAAGCTGCAGACAAAAGCTGGCACCACTGACCAAATCACCAGATAACGAAGTTCTCAGGGACTGCCGGTAGGCGCTTGATCCCCAAGAATGGGCGATTCCCTTTCTCACACAGGCGCTCGGATCCCCAGGGTTGTTGCATCGAATTAAGCGGACACATTGAAACTTGAGTTACATGGTGAACAGACAGAGACCAGCTGCCCGTAAAGTAGAGTTCTCAAAGTGCTGTTGAAGCGCCGCTAGCCATGCCAACTCCAAGATTCAGCCTTGAAGCAAGCAAAAGCCAGCTACGCTGTTGACCTGAAGAACAATTACATCTAGAAAGTGCTTCGAAAGACAATCCCATGACTGACACGTGTCAGCAGCAGCACTCTTCATGTGCTGCTCTCATCGATCTTGGAGGCCGTTTGCCTGGAGAACGCTCGCATACTTCGCTGTGGCAACATGGCAAGGAATTTGCAAAAGTGCCTCCTAAAGCGGCTTAGGCAAGTGGGGTGCGGTTTGAGACCTCCACTCTCAAGCCGGGACAGATAAAGCAAAACTCCAGCCAGACAAAAGCGAAACATCGCCTCGCAGCGTCCAGACAAGCCCAAGAGCCTTAATTGTTTGGCCGCAACAGAGACCAAAGTTGTAAACGCGAACGTGTTCAACAAAAGCACAGCATCCCCTAAAGCCATTCAAGGCGCATCGTGGCCAGCCCAAAGATAGAGTTGGAGTCTTGCGGTTCCTTCCATAGAATCTGTTCTGAAATGTAAGACGCCGGATAAGCCAGCCACATCATTCAGAATTGTTGGCACGTAGCCACATTGCCCCTTTCAATACACGTGCACGTGTGTCACTCTTCACTCAGGTCTTGAGCTTCCCTTGCTTCCGACACCACGCAGTGTAGAATATACTGCCATATACTGCTGCAGGAAGAGATTTTGCTTGCAGGATCTCGTCATGCCAAACGCTGCACTTCGCCGATCAGGCTTCTTTGGGGACTGCGGCAGAACATAGTGGCAGCGCTTCCAGAAAGTCAGCCCCAAAAACGGACCTGAACCTTTATGAAGCTTTTCAGCTGCGGCCCGATGTTCTGTGAGAAAATCGTACGCATCGTGCAGCAGTGCCTCAGCCTCGGGCGCTAGCTCGTCTGTGGAGGACTGCACAGGGCGCAAGAAAAAGCACTGTACACGATTCGTCGAAAGCGTGCCAAAACAACAAAATGCAGCCTGGCCCAGTAGACTCAGCCCCGCAACAGCCTGAGCACTGGCCGTCTGTAGCCTCAGGCCATCGCTAGCCTGGATGTACAGTTCGTCTGGCGGCGCCTCCAGACAGTCTTGGCTTCCGCATGCGAATGCCGGCCAGCAAAGTCTCCTTCCTGCCTGCAGTACGAATACATATCCCCCGTCACTGATGAATGCTCACGATGGGGGGCAGCGGAACTTTAATATGTAGTTTCCAGTTTCCGCCCTCTGAGGCACGCTGAAGGTGTAAATCATGTCTGTGCACGATACATCTCCCTACATCTGGATCTCCATGCTACCTGCATCCCTCCACGTAAGACATGGAATCGCTCAACGCCTGCGCGACAGAATGTATACAGTGGTGGTCGATCATTCTACCCCCGATTGAGTACCGCAAGGCGAAATAATTGGCCTGCGTTTTCAATAAATCCAGTAAGGCCTGCCTGTGTCGTCGTCAGCCCTCGCCCACTGCCGCTCCGGCCGCAGACTTGGGCGTTCTCAGCAGCGTCGTCCATCAGGAGACTACTGAGGGCATGAAGTCACGTCAGTCGTCGTTAGCCCGTCTACCACCATCACGGCGGTAGACTTAGAGCAGTCCTTCCTCTGCACATGGTCATCCCTGAAGTCCGCAAGAAATGTTTCGAATACCCACAATGCAAGCAACCACCGCCTCGCAATGGCAGACTCAGACTTCCACTCATGTGCCCGCCCAATGTTAACCATGCACATACGGTTGCCCTGGCGAGCACCTGCGACGCCCTATCCCGGCCAAACCCCACCAGAACAACGCTGCAGACGGGCGCATGAATCCTTGCCCCGCTTGTGAAGCTTCAAGGGACATCCCCAAAAGATTCTACAGAACAGTAGAAAACCCCACTATTCTCTT